GGTGAGGTGAAGATCTCTGGCAGTGTCAGAGGTGCACTCACCTTTCCCACCCTGCAGAGACTTGTTAGTTTTACATACTCAGAAGCAAACTCTATCCCTCCACCACGCTGCTACCCAACATCTCATCATGGATCCATGACCACAACCACCCGAACCAGCTCTCCCGTGAGCATCACGCGGTGAAGCCCTGCAGGGCACCACCTCTCTGCAGGTCAGATGGCTGAGTTCAGCAAAAAGCACTGCCAGGAACAGACGATGCTTCCTGCAGAGTGGCAGCAGGATGAAAACATAACTCCCCCAGCCTTTGAAGAGCTCTTGGGATGTCACCACCATCTAACCTCCCATTGCTGCTGAAACGGTGGAGGCAACAGGAGCCAGAAAGCTTTATCCAATGATGCTAACCGAGACCCCAAAGTCCTTGTAAGCAAGGCCATACCTGAAACCCACCCTGAAGGAATCTCAAAGCACTTTAAGCTGATTAAAAGCCATTATCCAGATTCTACGAATGGTGAAACAGAGGCAAAGTGCAACAGGGATTTGGACCTTCAGCACCCAGTGATGGGTGACCTGATAAAGCTACCCTGACCGCAGCTCTCGTTAGGCTTCAGAGTTAACAGAAGAAGCTTGGAGCACACATCCACTCCCTGGAGATGAGCCAGGGCAGCTTGCTGCAAGAGGCCCGAGCACCCCAAGATGTCTGTGGGTTCTTCACACCGGGACTGCCACCGCTCCTGGTGCTGTGGCATGGAGCGGGGAGATGGAGGGTCCCCCCGGAGGAGGCTCCGAGCAGTCCCCTCGCACAGACCCGGGGGGCCATGTGCTGGCTGAGCACTGCGGCGCAACTGGTGGTGGATTGACAAAGAGCTTGTGTCTGTGTGCCACGCTATAAATATTCCTTTTCAAAAAGGCACAACTGGAAAAATGTCTAAATGTCTATTTTTGCCTCCTCTGCTTCACCCACTCGAAACATTGACATCATACCAAGCTCCTACTGAGACCGAGTCATTCCCGAGACTGAGAGAAGCACAAAATGCACCCAGCTTCAGTGCTGGGGAAGGGAGAAAAGCATTTCTGTAGCCCAGGAAGATGGCCAGAACAGCACGGGACAGAAAGTGCAGGCTGCAACAGTGCCTGAGCAAGGAGCTACCATCCTCCAGCAAGAAGCTCTGCATGTGAGAGTAAAACTGGGTGGGTGCACAGAGACACCCCATAGACCCACCCTAGGGGTCAGAGGCTTTTCTAAAAACTTATCCATGAATTGGTGACAGGCTCAGAGGAACTGCTGCAGAGCACAGCAGCCACCCCAAAACCCTCAGCAGCCTCACACCCAGCTGATCCACCAGCCCAAAACCCCCCTGAAAGCACCACCAGGGTCCCAAAGCCCACGGTCACCATTTTCCACAGCCCTGTCATCCTGCTCTCAGGTGCCAGCACATATACAACCACACTTGCTCCTGCAGGAAATCAATCTGTATTTTGCTTAAATAAGGCAGTCAGCACCTGGCTTACATCTATTTAATGACCTGAGCATCTGGTTTCAATACAGCAGGCAAGGAGCAACCGCAGCATAACAGCAGCCATTTAGAGCTGCAATTAGCTCTGGGCCCCCAGCCGTACATTACAATAATGAAGTGGGTGCTGCTGAGCCTGCTGACAGCTGCAGGAGGGTCGATTCCACCCCACCTCCCCAAACCACCCCAGATCTCCTCCCGCCTCAGATCCCCCGTGTTCCCTGTGCCACAGCCAACACCTTGCTGCCTCTCTGCCGCCTTCCTGGTGGGCATCTCCGAAGGATCCCTGCAAAACTGCTGGGCATGGGACTGCCCATTGAGCCCAGGCATTGCTGCTGTACCTCACCATGCAGCAAGGCTCTGCCTGCCCAGGGCAGGGCTCAGGACATCATTTTATGGGCTCAGCCTTGCAGGGTGTGTGGCTAGGGCACAGAGCTCACCCCCTGCACCACTGTCATTGCAGCCCTGGGCTCGCTGCCACGTGTTACCCCACCTTAGGGCTCCAAAACAGCATCCACAGATTTCAGCCGGAGCTGAACGGAGCCCTCAAAGCCTTTTGTTAGCACTGGTGGGCAGAACCAGCTGAAATCTGCAGTCACCATTCTGAGAAACTGCAGCTCGAGGGTGGTCCTTCACTGACAATAGGAAAAGTCAAGACGTCCCATAAAGAGAAGTCACTGAAAAACTCATTTTAAGAACTGCCAAAGCCAGCATGTGTCCCCGCCCCCCTACTCAGTGCTTTTCACAATGTACATATTTGTCTGACTCCATTGTCTGCTTACTGTAACTCCCTTACTTATGGAGAAGCAAGGCTTCAATATTTGTTAAAGACATGACGCATTTTCAACTGTTTCTTTGGATAAAATCATTAAGCTCCTCGAAGCTTTTACGTCCCTGGCCTTTTTGCTGCAGAAAGCTGCTCCCTCAGAACATTTTCCAGCAGCCTGAACGCGCCTGAAACCCAGTGCACCAGATGGGGAAACTGAGGCACAAAAAGCTCATGCATCCAGCGAGGACAAACAGATCAAGAGCAGGGCAGAGAGCAGCCTGCAATGCCTCCCTTGCTCCTAGGCCATGGGATGGGGTTTCCCAGCTGGCCAGGCAGTGCTGCAAGGGTGCCCTGGGACAGCTTCCCCAGCAAACTGACACACGCACGTTCCAGCACGCATGCAAACATTTGCACATGCGAAAGAAAAAGCCTTGTGTTTTCTCAGGCACCTCAGCTACCATTTCAGGCTCTCTAGGGATGATTTCCACCTGTTTCCATACCCTTTCTTGCCACAGAACTGGCTATAAATAACTCTGGTTTTTCACCTGTGGAAGGAGACGGCTGTGTCCCAGGGGAGGAGGTGCAGAAGTGAAACCGGTTCAGTGCAGGGGCACAAACAAGATCCCAGCCCTGGCAGAACAAGAAGGAAAAGGGATGTTTTGTTTCTCACCACTCCTCAGCTGTGCAAGCACATCGTCCGCACCCACTTCAGCACCCTCTGCACAGAGCTACCCTACAGCAGCCCGAGCCTAAAGTCCGCTGGGGATTAGCGATCACAGAGCAAACCCTTACCCAGGAGAGGTTTGGGCAACAACTCACAGCACACCTTACATCGCACTAAATATAACTGACCAACCCCCCTTGCAGATGACATCCACATCAGCATGGACGTAAGCACGGGACACTACAGGTCCCTTTTCCAGGATCCCTCACAGTAAACAGAAGAGGCAGCAGGAAGAGCTGGAAATGAAGGTTTATTTATTTATTGCCCGTTTTGTGGCTCGCGACCAAAGCCTCATGCTGGCAGGCACGGGGCTGGTGGGGCACGGCGCCTGCGCGGGCACGAGGGGGCTGGAATGGGCCAGGGCACAGATTTATTAATACACCCATAGAAAGTGGCAATTTCTGTTGTGTTTTCTAATTCTTGACATTTTTCCCTGAAGACGCCCAACAGTGCTTCCCGAGGCATTCAGCTGGCGGGTGGCATTAGCCCCCCTCTCAGCCAGACCACACGAGCTGGTGCAGCAGCAAATAGTGCCCAGTGTTACAGCCAAGGGCAAGTGGCTTCCTCAAACAAATTTGGTTTTGATGTGAAAATATTTTGACAAAAATATTCCCAAGCACAAGGGATAGGAAAACACTTGGTTTCACAGCACATTAGATGAAGCCCCAGCAGAAGTGGATCAGAAATTTGGCAGAGGGATATGGTTTTTGCTGTCTTTGTGACAGATACTCCCAACCAGACTTGGCTGATTTAGAAACTTTGGAGAAATACAGCACCCCACATCCCCAGCAGAGCCACACCACCTGGCCAGCCCTCTGGGCACCAGCACGTGGCCAAAGCCAGCACCCTCCATCTCACCTCTGCAGAGCCTCCTGCCCCTTACATGCTCCCCTTGCCCATGCTGGAAGAGAATCCTACTGTCCTGTGTTCTGTCTGCTGCAGACTTCAGTTGTGTAGCCACTGATGTTTTGTCCAACTTGATCCATGCCTCGCTCCACGCACAGGGCAGACGATTCCTAGCAGAGGTGGATGCACATCTGAGGTGCCTGCTCAAGTTGAGTCTCAGCGAAGGACGGTGGCCATGACAAAGGCAGCACAGATGGTCCTGGAAAACTGGATTCTACCTCTGTCAGCCCACGAGGAACTAGGTGACACCAGACTTTCAAAAGTTTTTGCAAAAGGCAACGTTCCTCAGTGCTGATGGCCTCAGCTGGTGTGCGCCAGCAGCTGGAGACACCAAGGACAAACTTTCCTGTATCACATAAGCTCAGAATTGCTGGGGAGATGTGATTCCTGCCTGTACTCAGCCTTAACACCTCTGCTCATCTGTTAGAGTAAGAAATGAATAGCTGCCCATCTACCTGCTGCCTGCTCAGCTTTGATGCTGCCCTGCTTTTCTTTTAATTCATTTGTGCACTAAATGAACATACATTCACGTACCCATACACACAGGCTGGTGCACGTGACTTAAACAGAAAAAAAGAATGGAAAGAAGGGATAAACCCACAGGCAGGGTCTGGGTGTGAGTGGCCAACTCCTCAGCCTTCCAGTCAGTGCTCCCTCAGCCCCACGCAGCTGAAGACAACAAGGACATGGATTTCCTCAGGGCGCTTTTCCTCTGCCACTGCCCAACATCTCAAGATGACACAGACGCCGATGCGCAGCCCCCCGGGGCTGCTACCCCCAGCCAAGTCCCCAGCAGCACTGGGCACTGCTGCCAGCAGGGTCACTGGGTGCAGGAGGGCAGAGAACAGGGCTCTGTGTGTGCTGGGCTGCGTGGGCGCGCAGGCATCCGCGTCTCCATACCCTGCCCCTGCACTGCACCCTCTGTGGGGTGTTTGCGAGCAGCAAAGGGCTGCCCGTGTCTCCAAAGCAAGCCGGAGAGGTGGTGGTTACAGTTTTGTCCTGAAAGCAGATGAGCAAAATGCAACACCATGTTTTGCACTCGTCTGCTTTCATTCAAATAAGGCTTTTAGGAAGAGTCCAAAAACTGAAGTCTATTTGCATTTCTAATTTAATGCACTCAGGAAAACATCTGAGAGTTCCCTTTTTGCTTTTTTCATTTCCAGCTGCAGACGAGTCATTTCTTCTTGCTGGAAGAAGCCAGGGAGCCACACAGTACCACACACGAGGGAGGTTTTCTTGCAAAAATAACCCTACTGCGAGCACTTGGAGACAACAAGCTGCTCTCAGCCGTGGACTTTCTTAGGGAGCCCTTGCCCATCCCGGCACAGCTGCCACCTCTGCTCAGCACCGATGGTGCTGGGGCTTCCTCCACAGCAGCAGCTCCTGGAGGCTCCGGGCTCGGCTCCCTCCATGCAGGGCAGGCGGCTGCAGCCCTCCTCCAGTCATCCTGCTCAACCAGCATCTTCACCACCGGGGCCGTGTGGGTGGCGTAGGCAGGACGCGGGCGGTGGCACTGGATGAGGTGGCCGGGCAGGCCCACGTTGGCCGAGGGCTGGGCGTGCTCTGCAAGCCAAGAAAGAGACCATGAGGGCACGGGACCACAGCCGGCTGCCTCCTGGCTTCTTATCCCTGTAGGAAGGGAGAAGGAAGGGTGCCTTCAGTGCCACCAAGGACACATTTTGGAGCTGAAGACCACAGCTGGGGTCGGTGAGGGTTTTGCTATGAGCACGGAGGGCCAGGCAGCACTGTGGGAGAGGCGGGCAGGGCAACACCCGGTAGCTCTTCTGCAACAAGACCCAGATAACCCATGCGAGAAATGCAGAGGGCATCCACCACTTCCAGCCTTTGTGCCTTTATTTTATTTTAAAACAGATCTCATTTCTGCAGCACTGAGCAATGCCCACAGTTGCTGACAGCATGGCAAAACCACACCAAAGATCTTTCCAGGCTTAGCTTTCTGCCCTAAAACCCTCAGTCACCCAAGTCTTGTGCCTCCAACATTGGTAGAAATAACTGGAGGGATTAGACTGAGCGTACCTGGGAAGATGTCTGCTCAAGGGAAACTTCACACAGCAGAAAATCCCAAGAGAAAAAGTCATCCAGAAGAGAGAGACCTAGATCATCATAAATCAGACCACTGGTATTCCATTTATAAAGTATTACCGAGACCTTTCATAAAACCATCTGGTTTTCACTGAAATGCCAATCATTTAAAAATCACATAGCACAAAAGCAGAACTTCCTGCATGACTTTAATACTTTACTTTTCACTGCCTTGTCCTAGTACACCAGTTGGTACTACCTACAACTAAGCAGTCAAGTATAAAACATGATCTGGCTTGGCACAAGCAGCTGGATAAGATGGACAACAAGGAGCCCCACTTACTGAGACTACCCTGAAGGTCTAACTCCATCAGAGGGACAAACTCTGCCCTCCAGGGTGTTTGTGACCTGTCTGTAGCAAGCTCTGAACAGCAGCCTGCAGGCAAGAAGGAAGGATGTACACAGAGATGGAGCAACTGTCCTGAAAACAGCAGCTCCATGGCAGCTCACCGGACACCCTGCAGGGCTCTGCAGCCCCTGGTTGCAGATCTGGGAGCAGAGGGGAAGGAGGCAAAGTCTCTCCAGATGGGATTTACAAACCTGTGTGCATCACACCTTACTCCTAAATCAGTCAGGTATTTGCAAAAATCCCAGTCTTTACTTCCCAACTGTGCACCATTTGCCTTTTTATTCATTTTAACTGGGACAGATTCTGCCTCTCTCCTGCAGAGTCAGTTCTTTATGAGCATGCTGCACAGAACAGGAAAACACCCAGAAAAAGAAAGATACACCTGGGTGTGCTGGGGCTCTGACACTCAGCTGCAGCACTGGGGTCCTCATCAGAATGAGGGCAGCTCCGGGTGCTCAGGCACGGGGACACGTGTACAGGGAGACAGAGCTGTGAGTATTTCCCAGGGTCCTGCCACGCACTCCAGGTAGGAACCAAAACCACAGAAGCCTGGAACTTCATTTCCAAGAACTGAGAGCATTTAAAGAAACGTGCTGCTTCAGATTGTCCTCTACCAAAACCATGGGGACAAAAAGAGGAAAAAAAAGTGTATATCCAGTGCCTTCTGCACCAAGCTGCACCCTGTGGGCTCCCTGCTCCCGCAGCCTGTTGCAGGACCATGAATTTGCTTTGCTCCAGCTGCACTCGCTCACACTGCAGGGACATGTCCAGCACTGAGCTCGCCCTGAGTCACCCCCGGTGCCACCCCTGTGCTGTGCCGGGCCCCCCAGGGTGAGCCGAGGGCCCTGCACACGGCCAAGCAGCCCCACAGGCAGCATGGACTCTTCCCCAGGCTTATAAATAGAAACAGCCCGATGTGCTCGCAGGAAAAAACTTTCCATACCCCCATGCCCCCTCCCCCAAAAAAAAAAAAAAAAAGTCTCACTGAAATGCTGTTGCTATGAAGTTCTGCTGTTCCATACCTATGCTACACGCTCTCAGCTTTACAAGAGGGAACAGCCCTGCCAAAACCTGCCTTGTTCTGAGCTATGAGTTTTCAGAGGGCAGCACACTGTGCTGAAGCGACGTGTTTATTTTGACAAGCTGAAATAGTCCACGGCCCTTCCACAGCTTGTTCTCACTCGGTGCTCACATCTTTTAACCCTTATGTTACAGAATTATTTTACGATTAACCTGTCAGGCTAATTTGCAGAAAAGAAACTCAAAAGGGGTTTAGTCACATTAAAAGACAATCCAACTATTTTCCAAGCCAACATGCACAAGGGCCGAGCCCTGCAGCAGGATTTGGCACCAAATGCAACACAAACAAGGCACCAGTAGGAGAGCTGCTCTGGAGTCCTTCTCATTTTTAGAAGTTGTAGCTCAGATCTTTAAAATAAACTAAAAAATAACAAAAATAGATAAACACCCTGAGGGAAACCTGGGCAGCCGGCCCCGGCACAGGGCAGGGCTGCGAGTTTGATTCAGCAGCAGCAGAGCCGGGAAGGAGCACTGTGTGCCCCAGGGGTGCAGCAAAACCTCTCCGCCTTGCTGAGTGCAGGCGCAAAACCTCTCCGACTGTTCCAAGGATGGCCCCAACAGCTGCGGGATGCTACCAGGGGCCTGCGAGGGTGACAGGGACAGCGACAGCCACACCGGCGGTGCCAGCTCCCAACAAAGCAAACACAGGCTGGAACAGGGCCAGGACCGCACCGTAAGGAGATGCGGAGCTATTTCTGCATACAGCCCCACGACAAAACGTGCTAGATGGTTTGGCAAAGCAAACAGAAAGCTCCAGCTCGGTCCCTCACCCAAACCACCAGATGTACAACAAAAATGCGAGGAATGAGCAACACGAGGTGGTGGAAGAGGGAAGGACAAGGGTTACAGTGCGGAGATGTGGCTCTGACCCACACCTCTGGCTTGCACACCCGCTGTTTTTGTTGGAACACCCACCTGTGCTGCACCCAGCCACGTGCTCCCAGCCCAGAGCATTTCTGGAGAGAGGAGGCCAGTCACGCTCACGAGTTTGGAGCAGGAGGACACGTGCATGCACTAATATTTCAGTCTTTGCACGGTATTATTTTGATCCTGGATAAATACTACTGCTCATGTGATATTCACGCAGGCTGTGGTTTCTCAAAGAGCCCTGGGCCTGACTGCATTGCTCGGGTGCTAGAGCAGCATCTCACATGGCAAGAAAAGGAAAGGTTCCTACGATTTCCCAAATGATGAGGAAGAAAAAGGCAGCCTGATGGACAGCAACCCCAGCCTGAATATTTGTAGAAGTGGAAAGGTTCGGTGACAGGCTAAAATTTGGATACTTGTCAGGTGAATGCTCCTGGGCAGCTGTGGGTGCTTTGATGGAGAAAGACCCAGGTGAGGCTGCAGGACCTGCCTTCCAAATTGCCCACACTGGGGCACTGGGACAGAGCCTGCTGCAAGTCCCAGAGATTTCTCCTCTGACCTTCCAGCCAGCTGTGAACAGAGGAACCCCAGAGAGAAGAGAAATATCCCCCGACCTCAGAGCCCTGGCCCCTGGCTTCCACCCTTTTTGTGGGCTATGTCAAGGGGGGTGTGAGGAGACAGATGCCACAACAGCTCGGGGAGCTGAGGATGGGAACACAAAGCACTGGAGAGGAGAAGCCAGGGAAAGCCCAGAGCTGACAGCACCTCAGCAAGTGAGTGGGTCAGCAGCCACCGCTTGTTATTTACAGTTTGTGCTTGGCTACTGGCCTGGGAGCGCCGTCAGAGCACGGGGAGAAAAGGCTCCACAAACATCCCTGGAAGTCCTCCAGGCAGATCAACTCCTCTGCTCCGTGAGCACCTGCCAGTGAGACCCATCTCCAGGCCGTCCCGGTGGCCTGGCAAGGGCTTCCCAGAGCACGCAGGGCTGACCTCCGTCCCGTCCCGCTGCAGGGCCGGGATTAGGGCCGGACGTCGCAGGCTGAGCCTGGGATTTATCTGGTGATGATCTCTGAGATGTCTCCTCACGGGATGCTCCAGGGGAAACACTCCAATGTGCTCTCCTGCCCTGGTGCCAGCCTGGGATTCCCTGTGGCACGCAGCTGGGAGCACGGCCTCATAGTATGGCCTGAGTGCTCTGCCACACACTACATGGGGCTGCGACAGGCCCTGTCCTGCATCCCCTGTCCCGCTGCCACAAGCAATCACCCTGGGGCATGTAGCACCTCGTGCAGGCCTCAGGCATCGGCTGGACTGCTCCCTGCAGCCACCAGGACTTCCCCCACGCCTCCCCAACCAACCATTCTCCTCTGATCTGTTTCCATCTCAATTTTTGCAACATCTCTTGCTGCCCAGCCCAGGCAGTGGGCACACTGTGAGAAGACACAGGTACACAGTGTCCAGCTCTCCGTCCATGTCCCACCCCATGCTGTAGTTGGGGCTCACGAACCAGCACGCTTCTGAACTCTGACTCCCTTCCCTGGGATAATGATAAAGACAGAAATACCAAATGTGAAGACAGAACCTGAGCGAAGAAGCAAGGTCAGAAAGTGGCTAAAAAAAAATGATAGTTATAAAAGTAAAGTGCCAAGGGCACCAGGGCACCTCGCTTGCATCTAATGCCAGCCAAAAGCTGCTCTCCCTTCCTTTGGGCCAGCCAAGAGACCCCCAAGCTGAGCCAGGACCTTGCAACATATCTCCAACATGCACCCTTGCACCGTTAAATTTCATGCACTTCTGCTGAAAGTAGTAACCCTATAGTATAAGGCTAAAAAATCCCCCTACGTGGATTATTTCTAAAGAGACCCCAAAAGATGTAATATCTAGAACAGGACTGGGAAACACACCACGTTAGCATCACTTTTTTCTCCTGAAATAAAACTCATCCCCCCAGCACAGCCACCCAGCCAGGCAGCCAACGGCACTCCCCGCCCCGCTGTGGAGGCTGTGAGGAGTGGGATGGGGCCAGGTAGCACAACATTGTGCCCCATCAGCCTTTAGGTGGGAAAGGTGAAATTAAACCCACTCAGAGGGCAGGGGCACTTCCAGGTCTGGCCTCAGCTTCCTAATGTCCTGCCTAGAATCACACCCTGCTCACATCAAGTGG